AGAGAGAGAGAGAGAGAGAGAGAGAGAGAGAGAGAGAGAGTTTGGTAAAAGCAAGATAGAAAGTTTCAGTGCAGTGACAAGTAACAAACTTCTAGAATAGCAACAAGTAATGCAAACGCATTTGAATGTGGTAAGTACCTTATGCGTACAACGCTCCTCCAGAGGCAATTTCATATACTCTGTGTCCTGCTCCATGATTGATTATCCTGTAAGAATGATTCATTTGGAATATCCCTTTCCTCATAACATACTAATATAAAGAATTTACTTATACATGTTTCATTATATCAATAAAGTATTGACAATTCAAAATAAACATGCAAAAATACAATTTTGCAGTAAATAGATTTGACACCCACTTTAGTTATGATGCATAAAAAAATGGTATTGAAATAAACAATCAGATTTCATGAAGAATCTCAAGTGGCAGATTTAACGAGGATTCTTTATAAACTCTTTCTCAAATAAGTTGACAATTTGAGGACAAGAGTAACATTACATAAAATCGATTCTCTCTCTATTTAATACTCGCGCATTTAATTATTCGCTAGAGAAATGATTATGCATTACAATCAAAGTATCAAATCTATTTATTGTAAAATTGTATATTTACATATTTGAATTATCAATACCTTACCGATATAAGAAAACATGTATAAGTAGATCCTGTATATTAATGTCATGTTACTTTGACAAAAGGATATTTCAAATCAGAATCAGAGACGGTTAAAAGATACTTCAGGATACCTGTCGGTCGGCGAGTATCGTCACTGGCGAAACAGCCGAGAAAGGAGTTCGACACCTCGGCGCCGAGTTTCGACACCACGATCCGACGGACGGTCCCTCGTCGTCGCGCTTACCTAGTAGTAGGGTAACGGCATCGAAGTCGACGAGTAGAAGACCAAAACGCGCGACGAAACGAGTGCGAGAGGTCCAACACAGAGGACCGCAAGCCGGATGACCGATTTCACGACTCCTTCACGCCGCCATTAAATCCCTCGCGTCAGATTTTCAAATGTACATGCCCTTGTAACTGTCAAAAAAGCACGCAAACAAAAAGGTGATGCGTATCTAGAACGGCGAAACGAACTCCCGGTGAGCCGTTCGATGAAACGGTAGCTCGATGTCGCGTCGATAGATGGCGCGAAACGCTAAAAGTGCATTTTCATGAGCCATTCAAATCGGCCGTTTCAGCGACAAATAGGACACGTGGTCAAAATTGACGAATCCAAGCGTCAGTTTTGGTCACGTAATCCTTTTTGTCGCAGAACGATTTGATGGTTCGAGCGGCGCGAAAAATTTGCACCTTTTGCACTAATTAAGCATCTTCGGTTTTTTTCTTTTCAATGCCTAGATATATCGGATGTTTTCCATTTGATGACACAAGTCGACACAAGTCGTTCTATCCTTCTTGACGTTCAGAGAGTGACAAAGATAGAACGACACTTGTGTCGACTTGTGTCATCAAATGGAAAGCACCCATTATTTATTTCGCTTTAAATGCAAATATTTTTGAAATTTCAAGCAACGCGAACAAACCTAATATACCTTAAAGGCGCATCGACACGGCGAGCTGTTCGTCGCTTCCGCACTTTCTACCCTCGGATCGTTTGCTCTTCTTTTCTCCAACACCTGAATTTATATATCCATTTCGTTTTAAATGCGGAAAATGCTAGCGAGTGCAACGAACTGGACTGTTGCATTTATTGATTGCATTTTCCTTTTTTAGCATACATATTATATATGTACAATATATGTATGTCTATATAACCTTTATTAGAAAATCACTCGCAAAATTGCTAATGTATGTACATTTTGCTTTTATCGCATAAAATATTTTTACACCTTGTGTGGACGCCAAGGAAACGTCCGTCTACTTTTATTTCATTATACAGAAAATTGTAAAACACAGCTGATTTTCTTATTCTTATATATAATTTTGCTCTCTGTGTATATGAAAGTACTAGGTGTGCAACTAAGTTTCCGGGTTTCACACGTGGATGGCGCTAATGACACATGTAAATTACATGATGTAATTGACATACATGTCTAAAATTGTGTTTTTTTTATAGCTTGGACATCTGTCAACAATAACCAGTCATAGTACCAACATATCGCACACATATCGAATATGTCGAGTTTTGTGCCAAATAAACATCATTTGCGGGAAGCTTTGCTTTTCTGCTTTAACTTGAAAAAAAATGCAGCTGAAGCACGTTGTTTGCTGGAGGAGATATACGGCGAACATGCACCATCGAAAACTATCTGTGAAGATTGGTTTAAACGCTTCAGAAGTGGCGATTTCGACACTGAGGACAAGGAGCGCTCCGGAAGACCAAAAACAATTGAGGACCCCGATCTGCAAGCGTTATTAAATGAAGATGATACGCAAACACAAGATCAACTTGCGGAGGCATTAAACATGACTCGCCAAGGTATTTCCAAACGTTTACATGCCATAGGAAAAATTAAAAAGGAAGGAAAATGGGTGCCGCATGAGTTGACCGAGAGACAGAGAGAGAGGAAAAATCGTGGCTTTCACCCGGCGAAGCATCAACATCGACGACACGGCCAAATCACTTTGGAAAGAAGACAATGCTCTGCGTTTGATAGGACCAGAAAGGAATCGTGTATTATGAGCTGCTGAAATCGGGCGAAACTGTCAATGGGCATCGCTACCGACAACAACTGATCAATTTGTACGGGGTGATCCCGATTGACCACGTCTCGATTGGACACCACCAATCACAGCGACCGGTGCTTAATGATCAATTTGTACGGGGTGATCCCGATTGACCACGTCTCGATTGAACACCACCAATCACAGCGACCGGTGCTTAGGAGCTTTGTAGTCTCAAGCGCTGTGAGTGGCTCGTGTCCAATTGAGCCGTGTCCA